TCTGTGCTCTTCAAAAAGCAGCTCAAACTAATACTTGAAAAGTTCTAGTTTAGACACTTTGCTTACCATGACTTCTGGCACCTGATGACGCCTTATTGTTATCGAGATGGTATTTTTTGTCTCAGGCTCCATGGTGGTTGCCTCGGAAGGCGTGATAAGTTTGTGCTGTCTGTCCTGCACCCTGCATGGACAGTGGGTGCTCCAGATCCAGGCAGGAAGATGGAGTCCCAGTGAAGTCTGTCTCTCTCCTGCACCAGAGCTGGAATTTGACAGTCTCTGGTGGCCCAGTTCAGGAAGCTAAACCCTATTTCTGTTTTCTCTATTGCCCGTTTCTGGCTGGTTTGAGTGCCTGTGCTGCCTCTCTGCCCGGTTGTGCGCACACCAATGCTAGTGCAAGCAAAGGGAGCAGGATGTTTTGCATGGGTGTAGCATGGGAGGACGGGACTTTGGCAGCCTGGAGAAGTGGTCCTAGAACTCACACATCCCAAAACTACAAAATTGATTGCATGAAGTAATTCTTTTGAAGGCAAATTGCCATATATACTTTGTATTGCAAGCAGACAGTAAGTTAAGTTTTGTATAAACAGAAATTTGAATAGTTCCAGTGGGAGTTTGTAACAAATTAGACAAGTATGGCTGGAAATTTTAAAGTTGCTTTTGTTCCTGTTGGATGTTGAGGTCTCACCATTGAGTGTTTCTAAATTCTGTCCATGTATTTAATGACACCAAGGGTGTTTATTGGCATAATTCACTCTGAAATACCTTTTTAAATGTAGAAATCAAAAATTGAAAACAGAAATGTGAAGAAAGGTGACCAATGGTTCTTGTGCTAGAGCTTATTAGTCAGCCTGTTTGCCACTCATGATTTCAGCACCAGCTGAAATGACTTTTCGTCCTTTTGCAAATATTTAACAGGACAAAGTATTTGGGGAAAGTGTAAAGTGCCTCATGTATATGTAATCAAGAAAAGTGTTAGGAATAATACAAAAGCAATGCTCCAAAATAATAGAAACCACTGAAAGGAGGGGCGTCCTAAAGCTGCCAATGCCATGGTTAAAATTCTGTCATGCCTAAAAATTGTAGTAAGTTTGGTACTTTATAAACAGATGGCTCAGTAGAA